CACGAGTCTCATTAAGTGTCCAATTTAAGGGTCTTACACAGAAATATACCACACAACATGAATCAAACTTGTATTTTATTTATTTACACTAAATGTCAAAAGTACATCAAATCCGATTGGAGCTAAGGGCATAAAAAACTATCTAACAGCAACATCCCTCCAAGGTGGGTATTTACAACTTCCAAGCATGTCATGGGAGAGTGGTCAATAACCCGTCGTCGGTGCACAACTGGAAGAAGAAGTTCTTCTTTSCATTTTTGTCCCAAGGGTTGGTCATTTAGGTTGGATTGGGGAAAGCCAGACCTCGTATCCAAGAGGATTTCGCCTTGGTACAAGGATGAGGAGGTCGACACTATCAAATCCGAGCCCTTGGTATCGGAGGAAACCTTGGTGTGGGCTGGTCTCAGCCTTGCCCACCTTGGTAGGGGAGCTCCTACTATCGGCTTAACATGTCGACTTGCTTTATTGTGCGTAAGTACTAACATGTTTGTTGTGCTTTTGTAGAGATGCGACTGAACGCAAAGGAGTTGTTGTTGGAAGCGGCGAAATCGCTGAAGAAGACCCTGGGCGCTAGCCCGTCCAAGAAACGGGTGCTGAGGAGAAGGATGCCAGTTGAGAGGACACCTCGCCTGTAGGCACCTACTGGTGCTGGAGCTAAGAAGGGGAAAGGACCGGTCGAGGCGGACCGACGGAGAGAACCTGGCCCAAAGAGGCCAGTCGAGCCACTTTAGACCCCAAGGGGCAATAGGTTGGCCATAAAGGACCGCCTAGTCGAGGGCGGTGTCAAAGGCATGAGCACACTAAGGAGGCACCCGATTGAGGGAACTCATACTTCATTTGAGCTAAGGGAAGACATGCCGCTACTGATGTGGCGTACGTTCCACTGGGGTYGGTCAGGCCTTACTTACTGGAATGGTGCCTATTATGCCATCGACCTTTGCGATAAAGTGATACTTGTTTTGTTGTAGGCTACCTTGTTCTTGATTCCCTTTTGTTGACAACTACGTTTCCGTTGTAGGCTACCTGTTATGTCATCGGCCTTTGCGATAAAGTGGAGGTCCTTCTATCTTTGTTGAAGGCCTCCGAGGAGAAGAGGGAGCAACTTGAGGTACGGGTTGCTAAAGTAGAGAGCGGCCAAGGTCCTACAGGCCGAGATCATGGCCGAAAAGGAGCTGATGAAAAATTTGAAGGACGCRTTGAAGGATGCTTATAAGAAGCTGAAGTCACGTTGAAGTCCTTTGAGTAGAGGAGGCTCCGAGCCGAGGAGGGGTGCGAGGCTGTCAAGAAGTGGGTAGAGGAGGCAGTGGAGACCTGGAATATGTCGGTGGACTACAATAAGGCACTAACTGCCTATGGGGCTTTTGCATACCTAGAGGGCATTGAAGACACCAAGGCCGAATTACATGCTTTGATACCCGAGTTTGACGCTAGCCAGCTGGGGCTCCTGCCTGAGCCAGAGGTTGAGGTTCCACCACCTGAGGATCCATCCATCGGGGGGCAGCCTACGCCAGTTGAAATGGCTGAAGGGAACACCAAAGTCTAAAGGGCCATTCTAAGTATCTCTTTCTTCTCCTTTTTGTTTTTGTTTAAATTTTTGTAAGGGGCTTGCCCTCCCCCATTCGAGGCCATTTTTTTTGTAAAAATACACATACATCATCATTGAATATACTTTTTGGCCTCCCCCTTTCGAGAGGTCACAAGTAGAGAGAAAGGGTAGTGGCTTGTTACTTAGACGTTCGCTTAGGAAACAAAGTTAAGAGATTTCAGTCGAGGCCRAGCTACGCCACCAAGGGCTCGATGCCCCTTTCCTTAGTGGGAAGGAAAGGGAGGCGAATGCCTTAGCTCTCTTGGCTTGTTCTCCACCCCCATCAAGGTAGCTAGGTCGAGGCTGAGCTACGCCACTGTGGATTCAGGGCTCCATTCCTCAACGAGAAGGAAAGGGAGGCAAATGCCTTTTTTCTCCCAGCCTGTTACCTATCCCTATCAAGGTAGCTAGGCCAAGGCCGCATTGTGCCGCCGAGGGTTCGAGGCAGGGCGCATWCCTTAGCTAGCCTGGCTTAGCTTTCCTTGGGGACTTTGGGGTGTGAGCCTATGGGTAGTCGATGTCATGGGGTTGTGCCTGGCCGAGGTCATGGAATGCTTTCTGTTTTAGCAAAGTACTTAGTCAAATTTAGTGTGTTTGTTCATGGTGGGCTGAAGTCTTTGGTCGATGCCATATCCGAGGTCCTTGTAGTTTATGGCCATAGCGAGAAGATCAAGTAGGCGTCTGGTTCATCAAGAACCATGTTTCTTGGCCATCGTCTTGTCCGAGAGTATAACCTTGGTGAAGGTTGTGTGCTTCGACTAGTTGCACGGCCGAGGGGTCCTAACAATTGTGTGTAATTAGAACATACACTAATGCTAAAGCCAAGGGGGGAGGAACTTGCACTTTTTCATTTATAAGCTCTTGTACAAAGATTATCTCATTGGTAGTACATTCGGAGATTCTGAGAGTTCCAAGCACGAGGAACCGGTCTTCCATTCAAATATCCTACTCTAAAGGTCCCCTTCCTTGTAGTGTCGCTCTTTCACCTGAGAGTTGTAGTAGTGGGCTACCCTTTGCTGATAGGTCGCCACTCTAAGTTGAACCTGCTCTCGAATGCCTTCCAACAGATCCAASTTGTTTCTTAGTTCTTCATCATTCTCGGCTTTATTATACACCTAGGTTCGAAGCGTTGATTGGACGATCTTTGCTGGAATGATAGCCTCAGTGCCATAAGTTAAGTAGAACTAGGCTTCACCCGTGGAAACCCGTGGTGTTGTTCGGTAGGACAACATGACACTGTATAGCTCGTATGCTCAGAGGCCTTAGGCTCTATCAAGTCTAGTCTTGTCCAATCTCTCCCTCATGTACAACTAATCCACAAGGTTTCTAAAACTTAATCAAACAACAAACCAGTCAGGGTCCGGTTCCCAGGTCAAATGGTCTGATCATTCGAACTGAACAGACGACCCATTTTTGATAAAAAAATAAACAATTAATAAAAATGGCCAAACCATAGGACGATTCGAATGGTTCGATTACCCAGGTCGGCAGTTTGCTAACCAAATCAATGCTTTTTGGAAAAATAACGGCTCTAGGGTAAAACGGAACCGATCACCTAACCGGTTGCTAGTTTTTCCAGTCCGATCGTCCGGTCCGATTTTGAAAACTATGCTAATCCATGTACTTGTTTCTAACTTGAATCTGAAAATGAATGAAGGGAATTTTTTCAAACAAAGAGGAAGGATATTTGTTTATTCAATTAAAAATAAAAGGGTAAAATATAAAAACCTTACCTGAAGTTTCTGACAATCATAAAAACCTCCCCTATATTTTCACTTTAGCAAAAACCTCCCCTGTATTTTTGAAAAATTCAACAAATATCTCCCTTCCCTCAACGACCAAGATGGAAAACGTTAAAGAGATTATCATTTTTTCAAAATGCCTATTTTAACCTTTTACGAATTAATGTGCGTTTGTTTTTACTAAATAGCCCTACACCCCCCCCCCCTCCAACCTTCCCTCTTCTTTAATTTCCCTCCGATTCTCTCTACTCCTCGCCCATCTAATATGACTCACATATTTAAACCCATCTAATATGACTTGATCATAAGCAGAATCTCCTTTATCATAAAATAAACTAAGACTCAATTTGGAAGGAATACAAATACAAATTTATATTGATCATAAGTAGAACCTCCCTTATCATAAAATAAACYAAGTCTGGAAGGAATACAAATACAAATTTATATACAAAACCTTGAATTTTGTATTATTTTGAATATATTTGGTTTGTACATTTTTGCATTAGTACTCTTTCCAAATTGAACCTTAGGCTGCATTTGGACGCGATGTAAATCAAGAACTGATGTTAATTTTACATTGGTTCAGTTTTGTATGGGTTTGGAAAGAGGGTGTAATTATTATTAACGTAAAACTACACTTCGGTTCAGCTTTGCATGCGTTTGGATGGAGTATAGTTTTACGTCAATAGTCGATGTAAAACCTCATCAACTGTAAAGTTTTACATCGATAATCGATGTAAAAACTACATCAATTTTATCGATGTAAAACTTTACACTCTTCCACCCATCACTATTTTCAAAAAAAGCAATGGTCACTTTTTGGTTCAGTGTAAAACATCATCAATGCATTTTTACACTGATGACGTTTTACACACTGATGACGTTTTACACTGATTACAAATGCAGCCTTAGGTTGCATTTGAAATCGGTGTAAATCAGGAATGGTGTAAAAGTTTACGTTGGTTCAGTTTTGTTGGTGTTTGGAATTAGGAGTGCAAATAAAAATCAATGTAAAACTCCACTCCAGTTTAGATCTTTTGGCAATTGAATGGAGTGGARTTTTACATCATGAATCAACGTAAAACCTCATCAAACATAAAGTTCTACATCAATTATCAATGTAAATACTACATCAATTTTATCGATATAAAACTTAAACTTTTTTATCACAATTTTTAAAATATAATAATTTCCTATTATATGATTCAGTATAAAACATCATTTTGTACACTGATGACGTTTTACATCGCATCCAAACGAAGCGTTAAGTAAAACCCAGTAACAAAAGATTGCTGCATATACTTGGTGCTTCTCCAAATACAACCAAATTGTTAATGAAGTTGACCCTAATAAATATAGGTGCGCATGGGCGCATGCGTGAAAGAGAAGCATGCAGAGGGTTGCATATTGCACTATTATTTATTTTCTATCGAGGTAGCATTTGAATCTATATATTAATTTAATAAATCATTATAAAAATGATTTGCCCCGCAATGATTTTGCTTATGGGGCTTGCTCCCAAACTGACCATGAATGTAAATACAAGTCAAGTACGTACAGGGGATGCTTCCAATGTAATCGTTTTGTTCGATTTGAGATCTACACATATAAAATAAGAGTAGCGATATACCACTTAACAATAGTCAATGGCTTTTCCCCCGGTTGTTTTGCTGCGGCTGCTTCATCGGCTCCCCTTACTGCTGGTGTTGTGTTTATGCGCAGCAACGACGCCGGTAATATCATCATTAACCAAGTCAGTGCAGGCAAAGCCCGGCTGCCCAGACAAATGTGGGAACATCACCGTTCCCTACCCGTTTGGCTTTGGAAACCAAAATTGCTACAGAGAAGGCTTCCGACTATCCTGCGACCAAACTTCCAAACCTCCCAAATTGATTCTGCTTCCTACTGTGGATCCGGAAACAGGCCGAAACTACGACTTTGGGTCTAATGGATATTTGGAAGTTACAGACATATCATTAGAAGGTCAATTGCACGTCCATTCCTTCATGCAATATCTTTGCTACCAAAATTCCTCTGCTTCGCGTGATAGCCCTGAGTTGGCCAGAAATTCCTCTGCTTCGTGTTATTATAGGCCTTTTATGAGCAGAAATTCCTCTACTGTGTGTTATAAGCCTGGGCTGGCCCCTTTTCGTGGGCAGGCCAGAATCAAACAAGATTGGACGAATACCCCCTATACCTATTCCGACAGCAGCAACGTATTCACGTCCGTCGGTTGCAGCGCTCATGCTTACATTGATGTCTCCTCTAATGTAAGTTCCCAGTATCAGCACCAGCAGTATACATCCTTTCAGTACGGTTGTTCCAATAACTGCAGCAGCAGCAGTGCCAATAATGCAGGAAAGGGCTATTGCCAGGCCCCCATCCCCAAGGGGGCAAAGAATCTTGTTTGGCATTTGGATTTCGTAGATAATTCATCTATGTCTCTCAATCCATGCATTTATTCTTTCATCTCTGTTGCGAAGTGGTACACCTCGGTATCTCATCTCTCGGGCCGTGATGATTTCTATGCAAGAAATGACAAAATGATTCCAGTCGTGCTCGACTGGTCAATAGAGAATGAAGCCTGCGAGAACGTTACAATGAGAAACGCGACTACTTATGCATGTGGCAACAACAGCAGCTGCTACACATCCCTTAACGGTTGGGGATATCTTTGCAAATGTTTGGAAGGTTACCAAGGCAACCCCTATCTCCAAGATGGATGCCAGGGTACGTCATTCATATTCACCATGCATCAGTATTTCTAAAAGTTCGATTTTTAGCGTTGATCAATCCAGTTCGAGTTTAATTTATATTATATATATAAATCGTTCGCAGATATAAATGAATGCTTGAATTCAACTATGAACGAGTGCTCATCACCAGGAATTTGCGTCAATACACCTGGGAGTTACTACTGCTCTTGCCCATCTGGTACTGAGGGAGACGGAAGGCGCGGCTGCATTCCCATCCATCTTGCTCCACCACCTTCACAGGCCAAACTTCGGGTGTTTCAAATCCCATTAGGTAATTTCATAAAACCCATGACAATTAACTAARTATTGTGATCAGAGTCCGGAATCTCCATAATATATACTATTTAAATATCGAAAATATTTATACCTTATTGATAAATTGATTAATTACGATGAATAAAACATATTCATTGATGTTGGTCTTGAGAATCTGTGCTGGAAAAACATAGGAGCTTTGTGATTACAAGTCTGGTCGCGAACCGGCCGATCCACTCCATACATGTTTCTTCCCACTGGAAGTAAATAGAGAATTGTTCTTGGCTAAAATTGTCATGGAAGGACTGGTATCAGTTGTTGGGAGGGTGAACCGATCGGATTGGGTAGGGAAAAGTTATAAGTTGCAAAGATCGGCCCCCCAGAATCGGCTATAAAACTGGAAACAGCAGTTTGGAAGAACGGGGATGAGGATACGGGAGTAGACAGAGAGGGAAGAGACGGTAGTAATGAAATTACTTTACGGTAGCACCTCCGGTAAATCCTGTTTACAGAAATGATGAGGCACCATTGGGAGATGCTCCCAATGCACAGCGCGGGATGTGCGGTTGGACGTTGTGAGCACCTCTGTAGGGGCTGATTTTGACTCGAGACCTAATTTTAATATTTTATTAGCAGGACATGTGATGTATGAGAGTTGTTAAACAAACCTATAAGAGAATACAATTGTTTTATATTTTTAACTTTTTAAATAATTAATAATTATTTATATTTTATGTACTATTTTTAATATTTTTTTATAATACAAAAATAATATTAATTAATTTCACTTGGGGTAGTTCATCAAACTAATGAAACCAATCAATCTGATCCGCTCAACCTAAGTTTGTTGGTTTTCTAGTATTTTCGGTTAGCTTTGCTTCAATAATTTCTCAACCCGACCAAGTTGGATAATTTTTGCTTTTGTCATTGTAAATTGACCAAAATTGAATCAACTAACCATTGATAAATATTAATATTTTATATTTAAAATATTTTTTTAACACGAGAAAGTGGAAAATTTTTCATAATTCTTAGTCTAAAATATTTTATATCATAAATTTAATTTTTTATTTTTTTTAATAATGTCACTGTAATTTTATAAATCTAAAGTTAATTTTTTAAATTTAAATCTTTTGAACCAACTAACCAAATCATAAGTTGACCCAAAACAGTATAACCCAAATGGGCCAATTTTCAGAAATGGTCAGTCGGGTCACGCTAACCAACTCTCCAACCTAACTGGATCAATTTGGTTGGCCAAACAGCCTACAACCAAACCGAACCCAACCAACCCGTGAACACTCCTAATTTTAGCTAAATTAATAGTATAATCTCTAATAAATAACAATAGTTTAATCTCCAATAATTATTGAAAGTATATAGAAAAAGTACAAAATTATTGAAGATATATTGATAATGAAAATAAAATAAACAATTAATAGAAATACAACAAATACAATAATTAATAGTATAATCTCAAATAATAGCTTAAATCTCTAATAAATATTAATCAATAAATTATAACAAAATACAACAAAAACAAAAATTAGGATAGTGAAACAATATTAGTTTAGCCTCCAATAATTATTAAAAAATTTTTGTTCAATAAGAAAACAAAAATAAATTTATACATAATTATTGAAAATATATTAATCACAAAAATAATAAATAATTACTGAAATACAATAAATATTAATTTTAGTATATATAACTATATAGTAAATATAGATTAAGAGTTTAAAATTATTATTAATGATTATTAATTTTTTTGAAAGTTATWTTCTCGAATTATTTATTGATATAAGTGAAATTAGTTATTAACAATATTATTTAGTTATATAAATAGTACCATTATTTAAGTTTTAAAATATTAATATTTACTGAATTTAGAAATCCACAAATTATAATTCATACTATTATAACATAATTTCATTATTAATTTTTTTAAATATTAAATTATTATTAATTTCAATATTATGTTATAATTAATTTTCAACTTTTAAGATTTTTTTTTGAAATTTATTACATAATTTCGTTATTTTAACTATTTAAAATCTAGGTTTGTTAAATATTTCACTATTTAAAATATTTCAATAATTTGCAAAATATATAATTTTTTATTAGAATTGTATTTATTTTAAAGTTATTACATAATGTTAAATATTTATTTATATAATTATTTATCTATTTTTAATATTTTGTTATTTAAGATATTTAGTTATTAAAATATTTTTAGTTCATAATTTCATGATGAATTATATAAAATATAAAATTATTAATAATATGAATATTATTAAATATATTGTAATTACTTTTTCTACTTTTAATAAATATTTTAATGTAAGTATATAATTTTACTAGAATATTTAAATAATTCTTAAATTTTTTAATTCAATCTTTCTTTAGATACATATAGATAAAAAGTGGGGGAGAAGATAAGTAGGAATTAAAGTTAATTTTGGAGAGAAATTCTCTGCTAAATTAGAAATAATTTAGGAGATAAATGGGAATTTGAGATAATTTAGGAGAAAGTGGGGGAGGTAGGTTATGAGAAATTTTAGGAAAGGAGATTATTTAGGTTATTAGGAATGATTCCGGATCTCTTGTCCACCAAAACTCTGCCCACATCTATCTACAACTTACTACCCCTGTGAATCGGGAACATCACCCCTTGCATAATACTATGTAGGAGGATGAAAATGTTCTCCATGTGTGGTTGCGATGTTATGGGGCTAGATGTCAGCAAGAGATTGAGATTTTGGAAATGTGTCTATGTGTGTGTGGAGAGAGAGAGAGAGAGAGATTTTAGATAATTTTTTTTGGGGAAGGAGAACATTCCTTTGATTGTTTCAAAAAAGACACGGAATTAAAAAATAAATAAATAATTAAAAAAAAAAGGAGAATCCTACCCATGAGACACAACTTTACATTGGAACATCTCCCATGTAGAGAATATGCGGAAGATATTCCCAATGTAGGAAAAGTGTGAGTAGAGGATCATTGTTGGTAGGACATCCGAGCCCCCATGGGGGCACGTGAGTTGGGGAAATTTGAAACTATTTTGACCAAGGACTAGGTAGGGATGTCATAATCCAACTAGCTCGTCCTAATGGTTGATATACCCTTTAAAAATTAAAGCATAAAGATATTAAAACTTTTAGAAGAATTTACAAATTAAGAAAAGTAAATCAACTTGGTCAAGGACAAGTTCAAGTCCATCCCAAAATCTAAGAATGCAAATGTATTGGATCTGATTCAAATTAGGGTATATACAAATCCAGTCCAATTTGAAGATCCAACCGGATCTCAGAGATATTGATTCAAATTCAAATCCATTAAGGATGTCAGATATTCAAATTAGATCCGATCCAATTTAATTTTAGAAAACAATAAGTTATTAAAATAAAATTGAATATAATAGTTTAAATAAATAAATACAAAAAGTATAAGTATTTTTTCAACTATTTTCATCTTTTATATACATGTTTTTTATAAAAATAAAAAATTACAAAATACAATAAAAATAATATATTTATAAATAAATAAATAGCATATATAAAATTGACTCTGCCCCACCTCGTTGCTATTTAGAAGAAGGAATGGATGGATAGGTAGCACTGCTTTCCAACGGTTGTCTAGCCATCTTGTGGGAATTCATGGATGGTTCTTTTGAATTTAAAATTAGGGTCCATTTGGTTATGTAGAATAGGTGCTTGGAAGCAGAATTGAAATGGTCTATTTTGATTCCAACTGTTTATTTAATTAGAATGAGATTCTAATTCCCATTCTTGATGAAATGGTATTCCACCAAAAGGGTGAATGGCCAATCCCAGTGGGGAATGGGATCCCATTCTAAAGTTTATCGAAAAAATAAACTCTTGACAAATAAAACCCCAAACCTTAACATTAATGAAATGTTGTTAAAATAGTAATAACATGATAATAATAATAATATGATAATAATAGTAACAAAATATAAATAAAGTAATAGTAAAATAGAAAACTATTATTAACCTATTAATAAAACTTTATTAAAGCAATGATAAAACAATAGCAATACAATATTAATAAAATATAAAATTATAATAATATACTCATAATTATATATAATTATAAAGTAATATTAAGATAATAAAACAACAACAGTAATAATAAACTATTACAAAACTGAAAATTTTGATGGATTCCATATATAAATCTAATTAGAAATAATCAAGCAATTAAAACATAGCAAGGTTTTTATTTTGACTTCTTATATTTTGATAACTTGATTTAAAACTAATTAACCACGTGTGAGCAATGAAAGGAGGAGGACTATCTGAGCTTTGTGGAAGAGGGCCCTTCTCCTTCCCTGTTTCCTCTTTTTAATATTAGTATAAATACCTATACTAGTAGGGACCCGTGCATATCTGAAAGATTTAATATTTTTATTTTTCATTTAATTTTGATTTACAAAAATAATTATTGTTAATTGAATATGAGAAAATATTTTTTAATAAATTTAGTTTTATTAATAAATAGTAGTAATTTTAATAATTTTTATTCTTTTTATTATTTTTAAATAACATTTTGATTAATTTTAAATAAATACAAATAATTATAAAAGCTAACATTTTTAATAATTCCACTAATAATTAACAATTATATAGGAATGACAGTAGGGTAGGCTTAGGGCAAGGCATCCCATCCCTTTCCCTGCCCTATAGTCAAGACACTCTACCCTATCCCCGCCCCATCCCTAGTGTCATGCGGGTTCAGGGCAAGGTAACCACTCCTCAATGTTGGGCGATTTCAAGGGCAAGGCACCCCACTCCTCATCAAGGATGGGGAATCCTCGAATTTCCCTGCCCCATCCCTAGAATTGGACGGGTTCAAGTAGAGGTGTAAATTGGGTCATCAAGGTTGGCACGACATGACCCGCATGTGGCCCGCACAAAGTGCGAGTTGTTCTAGGGTTCTAGGGTTGAACAGTTCTAGGGTTGAATAGTCTGACTATTTGATCCGAACGGATGACCT